CAATGTTAGAAATGGAAAAACATAAAATAGAAAAATAGAATTCAATTAACTGGTTCGACAAATAACTATTCACAACACAAATTGTACCAAACATAAAAAATAATAATAATCAAAAAATTACCTACAAAGATGATTCACAAATGTGAAGAAATTCAGGGCCTTTAACCCTCCAATCCAAGCAATTCACTGCAAGTATCAAAGAAATCAAAACATGGGTCATTTTGTTCTCTACAATGGGTTAAATTCGCCCTAAAAAATTGGTAAGACGGTAACTACCCACAAAAATTAAACAAGAAATAGACACATATCAAACTATTATTTGATAACCAAGGAATAAACAGGCAGATAATGATTTAACAAGTATTTAAAACTTATCCTTTTTAAGATGTAGAAGGATGAATAACCTGGGCTTACCAGACAAAAAACCTGGACAGGTTACTTGTTGCTTACCTGACACAAAGACATCTTCGTATTCACTATCATCACAGACAAATTGTGGGGGGTCTGGGGAACTGACGCCAACTATGGTGCTTCCACTGCATAGTATAATGCAAAGCGAGTTATGACTCCATATGCAGAAAATGAAAGTGAGGTGATTACTTTTCAAGAACCAATATAAAATGTCAGATTTCTGAAAGTTTAAAAACTATTGGAACAGTGTATTGTTTAATTCCTACCTTCCAATAATACTAATCACATACTAATTCCAATAATCCATTGCAGAGGCGCAAATGTAATACAACATAAAATTGCAAAAATCAAACAAAGTGTAAATCAATAAAAATTTAGTGAAAGAATCAATTAAAATAGGTACACCGGAAATTCATAATTTCAACACATAATACCCCAAAAAATAATTTCAAACACATTATACCATCATCCATAACTCATTCATGTGCTCTTATAGTTGTAATTTGTTTTTCTTACAGAAGTCTGTAACCTGATCAGGCTACAAGTAATGAGATAGAGTTACAGAACAAAGTTAAGGCCACAAGAGTATGTCAACACAAGGAAAGAATATTACATTTATAAGAAGTTTGTACATTGACCCTATAAACTCTATAACTGATAGTTAGCATGTTGAATATGAAAAAATGTGGATTATTGTCTATAGGTAGCAATTAATTATTGAGAATTGATAAAAAAAAAAAAAAAAGAAACAGAGATCCGTTTTACATATATTGCACAGATTTAGCATGCAGACCAGGCGCTCTAGCATTTGGTCTCAAACCCTCTACACTATCATTCTCCGTGGGATCTGACCTGTAAAAAAATATGTAATGGAACAATTTTTAAATGGAAACCAAAGACTTAGAGATGCCCTTAAAGGACATACCATAGAAGATCCATTTAGGATTCTACATGCATTCTAACTAAAAGTGATCAAGCTATATGCACATTTTCCATGCAAGGAAAAAAAACATATCTCAAAGTTTCACTTCATCTCGAATATAAATATAAATGAAAAACCTGGTTTACATACTGCAACAAGTGGTCAAGACCACATAATGATGGACAACTTCCTGAAACTGATGAACTATGAAGAAATGTTTGTGATGATATGTCAGACCAGGAAAGGGAAAACAAATAGCTCCTTTAATTAGTAACTCGATGCATAGCCATAAAAGAGTAGACACAAATATAACAACCTAGCAAAGTCTAACAAACTAAAACTCAATTAGGCTAAGAAAATTAGTCTAAGATCAACCCCAATGTATAGAGCATCAAACAAAATCAGCCCAAGAAAGGGCAAACAAACAGTTTGCTTCAGTTTAGCTTGTCTGCGTCAAGCAATTATTTGAGTGTCAGGTCAATTAACTTGAGTGTCAACCAGAACCAAAGGGTCATAAAACATCCAATGTTAGCATAATCAAAAAAATGGCCAAGATCAGGAAGCAAGTAGAACCCAAAAAAAATGGCCTTTCTGGAGTGACATTTTGGTTCAGAACCCTCTAAGATGTGATTTACTGAGAGGATCATCAAGCATCCAGTTCACATTGGATCAAACTAATGTCGACGGAGCAGACACAAGAAATTCATAATAATAATAATAAAAAAAAAACAACAAAATTTTTGTTGGTCATTCCAACAAACACTTGGTGTCCAAAGTGTGTGGGTTTGTTTGTGTTGGGTGCTGGGTCTGTGTTGGGTGTGGATGTGCTGGGTTTGTTTGTGTGTGCTGCGCAGGGAAAACATCACATGAATATATGGAGGTGAACAAAGAAAATCAAACCACTCTATAAACAATGATTTTAAAAGAAGATCACACAGCCCATAAAAAAACTGAATATCAAATTTAAAATCTTTCCAGGTTAAACCCAAATCAAGAACATCTTGCCTAAGTTCGCCTTTTCGCAGTGGACGATCGATCGCAGTCGCAGTTCGCCGGAGTCGCCTGGAGTGCCTTCTTCTGGACTGTTCTACGATTTAGGGCAATAAAAAATATCCAAGCGGTGGTGCTGGTGGTGTCGATGGGGGCGTAACAGAGAGAGAGAGTGAGAGTGGTCAAAATTTTGAATGAGGGAGAGGGAGGAAAAAAAAAAAAGAAGAAGAAACAGAAGATGTTGCCGGAGAGGCATGGCTCATCTGACAGAAGGGAGGGGAAAACAAAAGACACCGAGTGAGATGACTAAATATTGATCGAGCGGTCAGAAATTTGAAAAATATTGTGATATTGTGGGCCGTCGGATGAAATGAATTAAGATCGTATGACCGATTTGTTGAAACCAACCTACTTTATATTATAAATTATAAACAGTGAGGGGCATAATGTCATTTAACATTTAACACAATAATGGATTTTATCTACAGTCAGAGGCACTATCATATAATGACACCCCCAACCCCCAAAACAAAACAACAATTTAAGGCCATTTGAATCCATTTTCTTTATCAAAATATTTGAAAGGGTAATACTCCTAATTACTATGACAAGAGGACGTGGGCCATTTTGAATCCATTTTCTTTATCAAAATATTTGAAAGGGTAATACTCCTAATTACTATGACAAGAGGACGTGGGCCATTAAAACCAAAGGGTGCTCTTAGAGATGATAATGGTACGGTGTCGTGTTAGGCGCGTTCGTATCGTGTTATTTGTGTGTTCGTATTGAGCAATAATTAATTTAATTCAACTTATTTAATTAATTATATCGTGTTGATCCAACCTATTTATTCTCGTGTCGTACTCGTATTGACTCACATAATTTGTGAATAAAAAAATTAACAAAAGTCTAAAATTTTATTGTCACTTAATTGAACTTATACTCATATTTTTTTCATAAATGAAAACTTCACTTGATAAATATAATAACAAAAATGAATAAAAACATCTTCCTCTTTTTTTTGTACAGGAATTATGTCAATACTTGGTAAAAATAACAAAAAATTGACATTTTATACCTATAATACTAATTAAACTTGTTAATTTTGAGTAATTCGTATTTTATACCATTATCACTCGAATCTTGAATTGGAGGAAATAACTTTAAATCAAGTAATATTGTTTTGAATGCATTAAGCAAACAGGCGCCCATGGCCTAATGGATAAGGCGTCTGACTTCTAATCAGGCGATTGTGGGTTCGAGTCCCACTGGGCGTGCCTTTTTTGGTTTTTCCATAAACCAACTGAAAACAGTGGATAGATGGGTTTGACTTCATTCTTTGGCGAGGCTGAGAACTCTTCTGTTTTTTTTTTTTAAATTTTTTGATCTGTCATATTATCAATATTCAAGTTGAACCTCAAGACTAAATTGAGTTGACTGGAATTTTTGGTTCAAATGATTTTACATCCTTCTTTATAATACCTCACATCGCTACATTTACTTGACACAGTTGAAAAAATTAACAAAATTCTCTAATTCCTCAAGAAACTATTTGATTATAAGCTTACACCAAGTTTTTGTGATGACATAAAAATGCTGGCACCACGTTTTTGTGAAATTGTAACTTAGACAATTTCTAACTTGATTTGGGTGCCATATCCCTTTAAAGTTAGTGTGCCTATTAATTTTTTAATCCCGACAAATTCAAAAATAATCAATAAATAAATAAATAAACAAATAAATATAGACATCAACGCTACTGCACATTAACAAATAGAAATAATAGAGATACAAAAATAAACTTTTCTCAGCCACAACAATATTTTTGATGACATGATCCTTTTTGGTGATGGAATTTTTTTTTTTTTTTTTTGGTTGAAATTTTAAAATGTCAATGGATTTGTCAAGCCAATATTGAGATACAAGAGGGTAATTGAAAAATAAATCCAAATTTTGGGATATAGTTATAGCATCCCCAGCCCTTACTCTTTTTTGAACTCAAATTTAAATTTAGGCAAAAATAATCTAAAATATTTCTCCAAATGCTAGATCCATACACATACCAAATGAAAAGAAACCCTTTTCTAAACCCAAATCAAGAGAGATCATTTTTAAATCAAATCTTTTAAGGAAAAATTACATCATTTGAAGATCTAATGGTCATATTTTACTCTCTTTCAAATTTAAATTTAAATTTGAATTTTCCCATTAAAAATGTCTATATCAAATTAAATTTTTTACCTTTTTTTCAACCCAAATTTGGATAAGGATTTAGGTTTCCCTAGAGATGATTTTATAATAACCTAAGGATCATCCAACTGACCCAACGACCATACAACAAACTATTATAATCAACTCATCCTTCTTTAGGTGACTAGGTCGTGGCCTGGGGACCTGAAAAAGATGTCTTCGGCTTCTCAATTATCAACTGGTACTTAAAACAGCACCCAAGCCAACTCAGTATTTAAAGGGAAAGAAGGGAGAAAAAAGAGAGTAGAGAAGAGAGGAAGAGAGAAGGGCGGGGGGGGTGTGTGTATAACAAGCTCTTTGCCACTGCAATTATTCATTTCATATCCTGGTAGAAAGTTTAGTTTCACCTGCCTATGAGGATTCAGTAGCACCAAAATTATGCTCAACTAATTCATAATCACTCAAATAAAAAGACTGCAAGAGGTATGTATAAAGGCATAAACCAAATAACTGGGAAACAAAAGCCCGAATGCATTGAACAAAATAATGCAACATGTTTCCTCGAAGGATAACAAAGGGGAAAGATGGACGATAATAAAACCCTAAACAGAATGGCTTTCCTTGTATAATGCCGAAGCTCCAGTAACGCATTACAGCAAAATATGACATAATTTCCTGATAGAAGCTACTATCTTCTCAAGATAGAAATTGGAGATACAAATTCCTGAGCAACTGTGAACTATCATCTAGAGAGACTGGAACTTGGCACGAAGAAAAAAAAAATCTTGGGTATACAACAATAAACCATTATACGGATATATGTAAGAGGCTCTTGAAAAGTATTGAAACACCTAACAAGCAGCAGCACCCTAATAAGAGAGAATCCACTTCCTCAACTTGCAACTGCTTTCGAAATGGCCTGCTTGACAGCCTCAGCGTATGTCCTGTGTTGATAGGTAAGAGTTGATTCAAGCAAGTCCCAAAGAGAGGTTTTAGGGTTCCAACCTGGCAAAATCCCACGAACCCAAAACCTGTCAGAATATTCTTAACCCACAGAAAAGATAAATAATTACAAAGCAATCCAAGAACAAAGTAATACCAAGTTGTCTATTGATTATGGTCATGTCTGGAATTCTCTTATCACTGTCGTCATACCCTTCGCCATAAAATTCTTTGGAGCTCACATCAATAGTAGGTACTTCCAGAGGAGCCTCTCCACTAACCTTTGAATAAACCTGCCAAGATACACGAAGAGTAGGTTATATAAATTGATATCAAAGACACCATACAAAACTTCAACGAACTCTAGGTGAATCATTCACCTGGGTCATCATTTCAGCAAGCTGCCTCACTGTAACTTCATTGTCAGGATTTCCCACATTGAATATCTGACCATTAGCCCTGGTTGGATTTTCCTGATAAAAAGAAACACCACTCAATACAATTTGTATGCACAAACATCAAACTAAAATGATGGAAAGGATAGTGAACATACAATCATCAATAGAACAGCTTCAATGGCGTCCTTGATATATATGAAAGTTCTTTGTGATTGGCCACCATCCACAAGCTTGAGTGGCTCATGCCTTAGGAGATTCTGAGTTAAAATGACAACCAAAATTCAAAAGCTGGCCAAAAGCAGAGTGTAACTAATGTTTCAGATCCACAACAGAAACTTGAACTAACATTGCTAAAGCATGCCAGAACTCTTGGAACACCCTCACTGGGACCGTCAATACCAGGTATGAAATCCATCCTGGGACCAATCCAGTTAAAAGGCCTCACAATGGTAAATTCAAGACCGTTCTCCGCACCCTCAGCTGGAGAAAATAAAGATGCATGAGAAAAATCTGATATGGAACGAATTTTAAAACTGCCAAATCAATGGACAAAGTCACTCACCATATATCAGCCTCTCAATCAATTGCTTAGCACATGCGTAGGACCACCTCTGCTTCTCAATTGAACCAAAAATGCAAGGGGAAGTGTCTTCTTTAAGAACATAGTAAATGGGATCCTGTTTCATGATTACACACCGAGTCAGCAGTAAGGTATGGAGGCTCAGAAAACGAGCTTTACATAATCCTAAACCATTCGAAGTTCCCGTTTTCCCAATCATAATTAAAATAACATGCATAATGAGCTAAGGTTAAGTAATTCAGGTGACCCCTCTTCTGCTTAACTAGGAATCAAAGACAACAAATGGTGATAAAGGTTAAATAAATAAAGAAATCAAGATGGTCTTCCACCTACACATACTTGATCCAGTAATGTGACGCATGAAATACTGGCACATAAACTTTTCTTGTATAATATTAGAAAGGCAAGTTTATCGCTGAAAGATAAACAGTTGAGGTTAAGGTAGTTGGAGCGTGGAGGTTGCACTCCTAATTAAGATATCACCTTTGCATTCAAGGATTTTCCAAGGAAACAGATAACTAGATGTCAGCTTAATGATGAAGTGTAAGAGATAACGAGACATAACTTGAAATGCGCACAAATCATGCACTAGACTCACCTGTACATATGCCAGAAGTGTCTAAATCCAAAAAATATGATTTCTTAGACAAGACGCATTATTGGCACAGTCAGAAACAACAACTCGGAAGATGGAAACAGAGGAAGCAAGAATGTTATGGGAATGCTACTGATGCTGTATCATCTTTTTCTCTATAAAGGCTGGAACATGTATAACTCCCAAACTAAACCCTTGATAGCCTAACCTACTCCACTGTTTTCTTTTAGATTGCCCACTTTCTATTTTTTTTATCACCGTCTCTAAGAATCAAATCTTGAACAAAAACATAACCCTTTGCCCATTATTAGATATTCCTCAAAGCTCTCAGATCCATTGATTATTGTATGCATATGAAACATATATTCATTTATGAACATACAATCCTTCAAGAAAGCATTGCAAATACAACTCTTACACTGTATCATCCATACACATGTGAATCACACCGTCTCCACCATAGCAATGTCTTACTCTTAAGAATTGCCTGTCAATGTCTTTTTTCGTGCTATATGTGTACCTTGAGTCCATGCTTCTCACATTTATACCAATTTGTCCCAAGGATATGTTAAAAAACGATAAGCATAAATAAACTACCCAAATCTGGAAGTAAAAATGGCAAATCTCCACTCGAGGACATCTACTAATTCCTTACACTACTTCAGAAATAAAACATTGCTTGAAGCGATTCCTGGTGGGCTCTGATTATTACTAACAGAGATCAAGTGGCCAACACTCTCCAAACAACAGAGATTAACTATTGAAACAAGTAGAAGACTTAATTAGACTTACCATTAACAAACAAAAGGAACTCAGATCAAGATATGCCAGGATGTGAATTCTACCCACAAATACATGGTATGTGGATGATTTTTGTGTGTGTGCGTGCGCGAGAGAGAGAGGGAGAGCGAGAGAGGAAAAGGCAGCCTTACCTGCCGCAGTGGACTATCTTTAGGAAGAAAGCTTCCTATTGTTTTTCCATAGACTTCACAAGTAGAGAAGTGAATAAGACGCTTGCCATTTTCCGAACAATACTTGACCTAAATCCACAAATCACACATCAAGTTCGACATTGACAAAAAAAAAAAAAGAAGTAAAAGTCCGGATCAACAGAATTGACATAAAAACACATCAACTTCAATAGAGTGAGACGCTAAAAATTGAATCTTTGACATAAAAACACATCAACTTCAAGAGACTTAGACTATAACAATCGAATCTTGGACCACAGATCAAGTAGACCAAAAAACCTAAACGTTGAGTAAATGAAATCCAAAATGCATACCACTGGAAGTGCATCAATGAAATTGCTGTAGATTGTATCAAGAGGACGTGTGTTGTAATCAGCCGGAGTGCAGATCGCCGCAAGATTTATAATCTACACCACAAGAATTGTCCAGAAATTCAGCACAAACAAATCTAAGTTTTCAAATACATACCGACAGGAGAAATAGAGAGATGGTTATCACAACCTCAAAATGAGCTTTTAATTCACCATAACACCACCATAGAAAACGCATAAAAATCACCATGCACTAAAATTCTATCCAATTGAACTTTAAAATCACAACGCCGCCTTAGAAAACGAAAAAAATAAAACAAAGTAGGACTCCAATTCATTCACAAGACTTCTTAGAAAAACCCAAAAAAGTTAACAATAATTTTAAGCCATCAAACCAATTGCATTGCATAACAGCAATGTGGTAGCCTAAACCTATTACATTTTCTGTAGGAAAATGTGCAATAAAAGGGCATAAAACATCGATTCGAGGAACCAAAGAGATCCAAAAATGGGGAAGTCGGTAATAAACTTCAAGAAAATGAGCAGTTCAGGAATGGATCTGGAACACAGGCAAGAGAGAGAGAGAGAGAGAGAGTACCAGATCTGACATCTTGATGAGGCCTTCAAGGCGTGAATCGTTCTTGATGTTGAGGCGGTGGAACTGAATCCGATCGCCCCAAGGAAGAGACGCTCCTCCGCTTTGTGGCTCGAGAAGGTGCTTGATCTTGTCACTGTAAACGTCCACCGCCAACACCTTGTGAGGTGTCTCAGCCATCAATTTCTCGCAAAGGTGGGAGCCTATGAAACCCCCAGCCCCAATCATGCATATCGTCATGGCCTTGATTGGCCTTCCGTCCAGATCTACCCTTCCCGTCGACGCCATTCCCAAATTCCTCTCTCTTCTCTCCAAATTCTAGAAAAACTCTCTCTGTCTCTCTCTGTGATGAGTGTTTTTGTGCGGACGGTGAAGAAAGGAAAGGGCAGGAATGGAAGGAAGTTGTGGGGAAGCAAAGGTCTTTAAAGCAAGCAAAAGGAGGGAGGGGAGGTTCTTAACAGAGTCTGTGGCTGTGGCTGTACTGCATTGGATTGGGATTGATGTTATTCATACTCGCGAGTGTGTGGAAATGGAAATTTACTCGCTATGTAAAGAGGCCACGTCAACAGGTGATTAGTGAGTATGATTAGCAGTATATTATTGCCACTGTTTGATTCAGGTTAGGAAAATCACACTTTGAACCCTAAAGATTTAAGAACTCTTACTTTCCATCCTTAAGATTAAATTTTAACATTTTACTTTCAATGTGATCCTTCCGTTAGTTTCGTTTGTTGGTTCCGTCAATGTCAATGAGGTGATTTTTGACTGAATGAGCAATATTAACTAATAGAATGACAATATTATAACATTTTTAATATATTAAAAGTATAATTGAAAAAAAAATTATTTTATGTCCTTAAAATATGTACAATTAGCTCCTCATTTTGGATATGTTTGATCTAATCCATGTGATGATTAATAATATGGTTAAATGTGTTTTTAGTTCCCAAAATATTTAGTTCATATTTAAATAATTCTACACAGACGAACCGTTATATTTTTTACAGAAAAATCAAGTGTTGGTCACGAGATACCATCTGAAAGAATTGTTTGATTAGTGATTAAAGTGACATAAATTAAAATTTTAAGGACCAAATTAATAAAATTAATACAATCATAACCAAACTAGTACAATGAGCATACTTTAAAGACAAAAAAAATACTATTAACCCTTAATAATAAATAGTCCGAACTTACTATTTTTGGTGGTTTTTGTTCATCGTTTGAAATTGAAGTAGTATATTGCTATTTAGATAATAGAAAAGTTACAATTTTTTCGGTTGAGTTATAATTATTTTGGATAAAGTTATAATTAGATGGTCTATGGTTATTTGGGTAATACAATGGTAGTAACGATCACAAAGTTTTATAATTTGTTGGGTTAAAATAATTTTTTTTAGGTCAAACTCAAATTAGATGGTCTGTAGCTTTTTCTGTAATACAATAAATTAGGTTATGCAAAAAATTGAAAGAAATAGAAAAGAAGAAGATACAAAATGAGAATTAGGAGATAAATTGGTTAAAGATGATAGTGCCACTAAATATTTCATATCTGATTTATTTATTAATTTATTTTCAACAAATTGTGTTATATTGAATTCGTATAATTTATAAATCGTATATAACAAGTACATCAACGAATTGTATTGTGTATTTTTTTTATTAACTACATTCATACTTGATTTTTTTTATTAATTGTGTTGTACTAGATCCACTAATTTATGAAACGAATAATTTAAAAAATACTCAAAAATTTTAATTTTTAATTATTTTGACTGACTAGTACAAATACATTTAAAATAAAAAATTAGAGTTTTAATTTGGAAAATTTAGAGGCCAGTTTTCCTTTGTGAACTTATTGGATTATAAGTCCATCAAGAGAATTTGTTTAATATTAAGTCTATTTTGATCTTTATTATCTAAAATACTTATAGTAATTATATTTAATTAAAATAAATTTGAAAATTAACAAATCCTAAATTTTAGGAGTTTGATTAACATTTAAATTTTCTCTCTCATATCTATCTATTTCCATATAGAATAGGATTGCTCATATATATATATATATATATGCACCCACACATACATATAGTAACATAAAAAAAAAAGTAACATTTAAATACAAAAAATAGTGTCATTCAAACACAAAAAATAATAACATTTAAACACAAAAAAATAATAATATTTAAAAACAAAAAAATAATAACATTAAGTATTAATATTTGAAAAAATAATAGTTTAACATACTAAAAAAAAACAGTAATATGAACAGGAACATGTTCAATAAAAATAATAACATGAACAGAAATATGGTATATCTATATAGAAAGAGAGTATCAGTTATTCTTTAAATTTAAAATTTAAATTTATGAAAAAAAATTTATTGTCATATCTTCATTGATAGTAAATTAAGGGATAGTAATTTCCAAATTATGAAACTAATTTAAAATTACTTTCAAAGGAAAAATATTTTAAAATTTTAAAAAAATAGTAGACTTAACTCTTTATTAATAAAATTAAAAATTAACTTATTATTAAATAAGGTTCTTTAACGAACTAAATTCATTATAAGTTTATTAAAGAGGATGCAGCACTAATTTTTAGTTAATTTAAACAGTATAAACGTACTGTTTTCGCCAATGGAGTAGAGTTGAGTGCGAGACTAGGAGATGAGTTGGGATTACAGGCTAAAACCGTGTGACGTGAGCTGCTCGAACCAATGAGCTGTCAACTTTCATACTCACGTGCATCATATTTTTCGCGAATATGAAATTTGCCCGAAATCCCCACGCAGATTCATGCACGCGCCTGTTTACGTTCCAATCCCGCAACAAATTTATTGCCTCCGGGAAATCCACAACTTTTCTTATCTAATTGGTTTTGTTATGGTGTATAATTTTGGTCATCTTAAAAGATAAATTTTTTGTAAATATTTCAAAAGTTAAAAAGAAAAAGAGGCCAATATATATATATATATATATATATATATATATATATTTATTTATTTATTTATTTATTTTGGTAGGTAAAAAATTGATCTAAGGTGTGAAATATCAATCACCATTATGCTATTTTGAAGTTTTTATTTGTTATAGAATGCTTGATTTGAGCCATATCTATTGACATGAGATGTTCGAGTTCAACATCCTAGAGCGGCTCAAGATATTTTGGGGTCTAAAATAAAATAATTAATGGAGTTTTTTTTTAAGTTTTTATATTTAAACTTTTATTATCATAGTTGAACTTTATGGTAAGAGAGAGAGAGAGAGAGAGTATAATTGAAAAATTATAATAAGTTTGAACTTGAATTTTTTTTGTAGGTTAAGACTTGATTTTTAATAGCTTTAGTATGTTAGTTTTCTTTTTTTTTGTTTTTTTTTTTCAAAAAATTGAATTTTAGAACTTTTTAATTTTTATGGGCGGAATTAATAGACCCAATTTTCTCAAGTTGAAATATTTTGTTTGAGAATAAATCTAAATTTTTTGTAAGACCTATTTTTAATGGATTCAATTTTTATGTTTAGTTTATTACTATATACCTAAAAATTATAAGCCCTTTATTAAAATAAGGCCTAAAACCCAGTTTTTATTGGCGTAGTGATTGTGTGATGACACACACACATATATATCATTAACGCGTTAATTAAGTTATCAATTATAATTTTATATAATTAAATTTTTTTTTTTTTAATATATATATATAAAAATAAATAAATAATTTTATTTTGAACAAATGGACCTCAAATTTAAAATATTCATGCGAAAATGAGACAAATAACTATAATTTAAGTTAAATTATGTAATAATATGAATGTATCTATAAGTATGTATATATGGCAAAGGACAAGTGTCCTCTTTTACAGCCCGACAAGTTTAAAACGTGCAAAAAAAAAAATGGCAAGTAAATGGAAAGATTTCCATGTGATGCAAGCAACTTGCATCATGGATGCCGCTTGCATCATGGATGCGGTAAGGGAAGCCTAGGCTTGGCTATAAATAATCTGTATTTGGGCTTCAGGCAGCGCACTACAGGAAGAAAGGAAGGGGGAGAAAGAGAAAGAGTAAAAGGAGAGAGAGAAAGAGAGGGAAAGAGAGAAAGAAAAGAGGTAAAAAATGACCCAAGAGGTAACTGTTGTAATTAAAAATTGTTGGGTAAGTTTTTTATTTATTATTTACTAAATTTTATTGGTTCAAGTTTTTTAAAGTTGATCCTTATTAAATATTTTTGGATTAAATTTATATATCATTATTTTTGTTAATTATTTTAGCTCAACTAAGCTCTTATTACCTATTATTATTTTAAAATATTACTTTGATTGTTTTGTCATAGTACAAGGTATCGAGTAGAAGTCAAGTCAGAGGTAAGATTTTTTTTATCTTTTACTATAATTGATGCATTTCATGCATATTTAAGAGTTTCGTATTTTTAATTATATAATGTAGTATTATATCGTTATAATCATAGGATCAAACTGGAGTTTTATAAATAAATTGTGATCATGTACATGTTGTATTTTTATAGAGATCCTAATTATCTTATAAAACCATGTTGCATAATAAATATTTTTTTATTATTATTTAATGTTTGATTTGTTGTTGGGTCTGACTACGATATGACTTTATTTTGTGATTTAGATGAAATTACTATGAATGCACATAATCGAGGGCAGATGATTAGTAGATGAGTGATTCTTACGATAATTTACAGGATTCCTATTAGTTCTTGGATTCACTGGTTAGTAATATCGGTTATCGTGGTAGCTTGTTTAGTACGACATAATTCCCAGTATTTGTGTTTCCAGAAAAACAAGAAGGCCATTGGGTTCTCTAGGGTGTAAGACCCTAAAGTTTTCTCTGGAGGTGGTTCATGCGTGAATCAGAAAATTGACGAATTGATATGATCGATATGTGCTGAAATTTATTTATTTATTTGATTCATTACTTTGCCCTATTTATGCATTTATGTATTATTTAATTATATTATGTATTGTTTTAAAGCCTTTGTAATCACTGATAAACGTTATCTTACTGAGCTGGTGAGCTTATCTTTATCAAACATTTTTTCGAAGTATGAAGCGGGGCCAGATGATAGACTTAAAGAACAATGAATAGAATCTGTTATTATTATTTCTCTTTATGTTGCATCAAGAATATTTGAAATGATATTGTGAGGATTATGTACTTGTACGCAGAATATAATAATACAAGGAAGATTATTGTAAGTTCGGTGTGATTTTATTCTTTAATCACGCCCGGCTATTTTTTTTTTTTTTGAAAAAGGAAAAAAAAATTTCGGATCATGAAAGAGTGGTATCAGAGCTTAGGAATTAAGTCTTACATGAGAATTATATATATATATATATAAAATAAAATAGAGCTAAGTTTAAATCCAGAGACAAAGAGAGGTCCAAATCATTTTGAGATAAAACATAAACACATCTAATG